AGATGATCCTCATTATCTATTCGGGTTGCTTGAATCAGTTGTTCTGGAAATTGGTGTTGAAAATGTTGTCCAAGTAATGACAGATAGTTCTGCTAGTTACATATATGCTGGAAGGCTTGTCATGAAGAAGTACCCTTCGGTTTTCTGGTCTCCGTGTGCTTCACATTGTATCAATAAAATGTTAGAGGATTTCAGCGAGCATGACTGGGTGAACGTTGTCCTTAAAGAGGCAAATATGATCACAAAATACATATACAGTAATGACTGGATGCTAGATATGATGAGAAAATTTTCAGGTGGAGGGGAGTTTGTCCTCGTTCGACCAAGATTTACAAACTTCATAGCAATTTTTCTCTCTTTACGGGCCCTTGTAATTCAAGAGGATAATTTGAAACACATGTTCTCTCATGCTGAGTGGTTGTCATCCATATATAGTAGGCACCCTGAAGTCCAAGCCATAAAGTCATTGTTGTGCCTTGAAAGATTTTGGAGATCCGCACGTGAAGCTGTTACGGTTTCTGAACCTCTACTTAAACTGTTGAGGATTGTCGACGGAGACATGCCTGCTATGGCCTATATGTACGATGGAGTGGAAAGAGCAAAGCTCTCCATCAAAGCATTTTATAAGGACGTAGATGAAAAGTTTGTGCCGATTTGGGATATAATTGACAGGAGATGGAGCATGCTTCTTCAATCCCCATTACATGCAGCAGCAGCATTCCTTAATCCCTCCATTTTCTACAACTCGAGCTTTAAGATTGATGCAAGGATCAGGAATGGCTTTCAAGAAGCCATGACGAAAATGGCTTCTGAGGATAAAGACAAAGTAGAAATTACTAAAGAGCATCCAATGTACATAAATGCACAAGGTGCTTTAGGGACTGAATTTGCAATAAAGGGAAGGACACTGAATGCCCCAGGTACGATTAATTCTTCAATGCCAGAAGTGCACTTGCATATTGTTAGCATGTTATAAGGTAGTTATCAGGTTTAATTCATAGCTACATCATTCTATAAACTCCGGCATAGTGCCTAAGGAGAATTCGATAGGTTGAGCAAGAAAGAAGATTTCTAGCTGATTCCTTATTTTCTCCTTTGAGTCGTACCATTTTTTATAGTTTCCGTTCTATTACTATCTGTTATGTTTGTTATTATTTGTTGTTTCTTGTACTTCCGTTAATTCTTTTTTGGGACTACTTTGGTCTTTTTTACATGAGCCGAGGGTCTATCAGAAGTAAGCTCTCTACCTCAGAGGTAGGGGGAAGGTTACTCTACCCTCCCTTGACCCTACTTTGTAGTACTACAAGGCTAGCAAGTAACGAACCCGAGACCAAAGGTAGGCTACTATGCAAGAAAGCTTAGTTTAAGCTTGGTATGTTGTTGTTGTAATCGTCTTTAACATTTAAAAGTCTGCCCTATATGTCCTCAGCTGATTGGTGGACGGGTTATGGCTACGAAATTCCAACTTTACAGAGAGCTGCTATACGGATTTTGAGTCAACCTTGTAGTCTTCATTGGTGTAGATGGAACTGGAGCACTTTTGATGGTGTTCATGAAAAAAGACGGGAAAGGTTAGAGCTTGATAGATTCAATGATCTTGTTTATGTGCACTGCAATCTCTGGTTACGGGCACTTATAAGAAGTAAAGATGGCAAATGGAAGCCAATCAACTTCGACGAAATAGATGTTGGTGCTGAATGGCCTACTGAAGCTGAAGTTGCGCCATGCACTTACTTGGATGATTCATGGTTGCAACTTGCACACTTCACCCCTTGAAGGCAGAGGTATTCCTTCGTTTAGTGAATTTATCTATAAATGGAAATACTAAGCTCCATTTTGTCAATACAAAATATTCACATCAAAACAGCATTTGTTATATATTGGAATTATTAATTGGAAAATATGTGAAGATGAACTTATTCGAGTTTATTTTTCTTTACCACTCACAAACATTCACTATTTTTTTCAAGTTAACTTAGATGCATGTCCAAATACCCTTTTGCCAATACTATTTTTTGTCTTTCAAATACACATTTTTTATGTCCAAACGCTTGCCAACTTTAATTTTTCTATTTTTTTTATTGGCTTATCTAAATAGTAAATACTTCTAGATATCTTTAAATGGTTGCGAAATTCACTGTTATAGCATTGCAATGACTTGAATGTTGACTAGTGAGATTTCAGATGGATCGTTCTTGCATATGTCATGATCTTATTTGTTGGTTGGAGTGACAAACAGGCAGGTAGGATTGGATATAGGCGGGTTAAAATGGATACAATATATGACCCGGCCATATTTAATATGGACCAAGAACACAAGCTTAGACTCCCAAATCCAAGAACTCATGAAAATAACAAGCAGACAAATAGTATTGATATAGAGGATAATATTGATAATAACCATATTTGATTGATTTTTAAAAAGTCAGTTATCTAACCCATGTCCAAAGAGTCGGATCAGATGGTTATTTTTTGTTTTAACCATTTTGCGACCCCTAGTTATTGTTATGCTGCTGTTGTATTTAAAGAGTATTCACTATTCATAAATGGGAGATATGTAGTTTGTGTTAGCATGATGTAATTTACTTCGAATATTTTATAGGAACTACAAGATATTTTCGATATGGTAAATATGTAAGAGATGTCCTAAATAATGGTAAAATTAGATTCTACATTTATCGTAGAATAATTAGCAGTAGTAGTTGTATCTTGTATAATATTTTGTAGGATTTATTTCAAATGTAGAATGGTTTTGCTTCTTTTGATCTCTTATTATTCCTCTCTTGTATAAATACTGATGCTTTTGTATTTTGATTAATGACTTAAGACGCTCATTCTTCCGTCTCTTTTGTGTTTTCTCTGTTCTTGGCAGTTTTTGACCAATTGAATATGATTTTCAGTTGATTCTCATTCATAGCAATCAACTATGTTGCTCGGACTCTCAAAATATTGCCCTATTTGTGTTGAACTTTTCAAATTATGCAACACACCACCTATCAATATTTTTGAAAAGTCTGAGCAACATACGCGACCAGTATCTGTATCATCTTGATAATTTCAACCTTTTGTTTTGAAGGTTGGTTAGACATTTTCTGAGGAATTAGAACCCATTGAGGGGATGTCGGCTCGGGAAGGGGAAAGTGGTGAGTGATCAAAAGTGGAAGACTGTAAATCTGTTCTACTAATGTCAGTGCAGAAAGGCTAACCGAGCGAAACTCTGTTCTTTTTTTGGCACGTAGGGAACTGATCACGTTGCTCAACTAGTTGGTGTTGAATATAGATGGAAAAGCTATAGATCGTAGTAGTACACCAACCTCTTTGTTGTTTCTTCCTCGTTGTGTGACGTTAGCATACAAGGTATCGCAATCCCTTACCTGCTAAATGAACAAAGAGAAATCATGAGTGTTGTGCAAACTCAGCCACTCGAATCGCCATCATCAAGTGTAAGATTTTTGTCATTGCTTCTCTTATTATTTCTAACTCATGTCTTTATCAGCATTTGTTTTGTTATGTTTTGATTCAGAGTTCTTTAATGGGTGTAAAATGGTGAGAGCTTCGACGTGCCAAAGCAGAGACGAAAAAAATCTAATGACTCATCCGAGAAAATATAAAACAGATACAAAAGTCGGATCCAAAGGTATGGCCTAATGGTAAATAAAGTGGGTGAAAAGTATACGATTTCTTCTCATTTATCCAAGTCTTGATGGTTAGAGTTATTTGCTTGTCCTCTGCGACTATAGCTTTTTAAACTTCTTTATATCAGTTTTTCCTATTAAAAGAAAATATTGCAGCAAAGTAGACATTTATCTAGAGTTTTTTTATATATATATATATAATGTAATGCTGAATTGTCAATTTTTTTTTATTCATTTTCAAGAAAAAGTTAAAAGGATGTAAAGACATAATTGCAAAATTGAAGACTTGAGTTTGTATTGGATCATACTATTATCAAGGGTTTCATTTTCTTAATGATTTCTCGTTCGGTGTCCAGTACCTAATTTTTGGCCTGACTAATTTGGATTCATGCTAGAATGTCTGACTTTGGTACTGGGGTGAAGCGCTCCGATGAGAGATGATTTTGTTTTCAAATTTATTAGATTTAGAATCGAAAGATTTCAAAATTAGCATATCACAACTTACCGATTGAGGTATAATACATAAATATATCTTATACTTTGAATGTTACGTAAACGTGTATGCAAAATTAAAAACTCATTTATGTTGTGACTATATATTAAAAATGTCGACATGGTTAGGATTAAACTATTGACCAGTATAAAACTATATAGTATAAAAACAAATAATAGTTTTTAAATCTTAGTCTTAGCTTATATATAAAGCTATATTGTTTTATATATTTAAACATCTCTGGCTTTCACTAACACCGACTTTATGAAAGTTTACAAGTTAATGCACGCTGGATAATATATTAACTGATATTATTAAAAACACTAACACTAAACTAATTATGTTTAATTAAAGAAATGTGAATTGAAAAATTCTCTTTTCAAACAACCAAAATATGAAGCAAAAATACATAAATATAATATATTATGGAGGTGGTCCTTGTTGAGCTATAGAGCTTCACCAAATCTTACAATAAAAATAAAAAATAAAAAATAGACGATCGATATCATTATAATCGTATGTCGTCTTTAATAAGGTTATAAAAATAAAGTCTGTCTTTAATAGATACACATAATTTTAAAAAATGTAAGCTCTAATTATGTATAAAACTCTATATCATGTATATACACAAATACAATGTTATATTGTATATTCTTTTTAATAATATTTTGTTAATAAAAAAATATTCAGACAAACAATATTATTACGAGATGCTAGTTGACCTTTGACAGTATACAACATAAAAGGAGAATAAGTCATGGAAAAGTACAATTAACATTGGCTAAACTCACCGACTAATACTGAGTGATATATAGATAATGTATCATAGTCAATAGGAATATTAATATTTATTTGGATAATTTTTTAGGGTGTAGTTAAAAAAAATTATAATAAAAATAGTTGACATTGTTTTAGGATATGAATTTTCGTAAAATGAAGTTTTATGAGTAAAAGTCATTATTTCATGTAAATACTTTTCAAACTAGTTTATTTTGGTTGATGTTATTTATTTCAAATTAACATTCAAATTACGATATCACTAAGTCGATATTGACTTTGTAGCATTAGAAAGTGAAATATCAAAGTTAGAGAAAGGTAGAAATTTAGTTACATAGTAATTTTTGTCATCCAAGTAGTTCAACTATCAACGGTAATGAAGTACTCGAATAAGATTAATTCTTTCACTTTTAATAAGAAATTTCAAATTGAAGCCTCAAAAATAAAATACAACATAATAAAACACATTATTTTTTAAAATTACCTTTATACAAAATAAATTTAAATTAATCAAAAATTCAAAACAAATATTAAATATTGAATAAAAAGATATGTTCATAGAAAGTAGACATAGACACAGTCTCAACGAGTAACCGGCCAATGAGAACAAAGTATAGATAAATATATGCCATTGGCGGCCAAAGATTCGTTGAGGAAGATTTGGATTACAAAGGACTAGCAATTTTGTATATTATTTTAAGCGGGATAGAATATAAAATAAAAGTATATTAATATAAAGTAAAGGTATATTACATAATTATTAAGTAATGTTTATGTGAAATTAGGTCTTAGGCCTAACTCACACCCCAAAAGCTAGCTCAAAGGGAGGAGGATTGCCCAAGCCTTTATAAAGGGTTCACCCACCTCATTAACCATCGACGTGGGACTTTTGTCATTCTTTAACGTTTACACTGAGTTTTACGAATATCTATACATTATTTTATAGAAAATAGATTAATAGAATATTCAAAAAAACAATATGTGTGTGAGCATCGAAGTGATTAAACTATTTGTAGACAAAAACTCTCTTTTTAAAGCAAGTAATCCATGTATAATAATTCTTCACTATTAATCGTCGCATGATAATTTATAAATAATTCTCGAATGACAATTTTTGCATAACTAATACCTGAATCAAACGATCAACAACATCAATAACGTACCATACTAGTAGGAATCCCTTGTGGTTATAATATCAAAATACAATTTACCGATTATAACAATTTATCCTTCTTGTATTTGACTTAAAAAAAAATTGATGCGCAAAGTTACTTTTTATCTCAATACAATTTAACCGATTATAACAAAGTATCCCTCTAATATTTGAATTACGAAAAACTTGATACGAAGAATTGCTTCTTATCTTATCTTAGTTAGGATAAAATCTTTAATTTTTTTTAGAGTAAGAAAAATTAAAGGTAATTATTAAAAGAAGGAAAGATTCCAATTAAATCCACAAATCTTAATGCTAATCCCCCCACGTTGGATTTGCCTGGATTTAATGTCAACACTCTAAAAACTGACCTTTTCATTTCATACTTCTTTTAGAAATTCATTAATTTAATTTCTTTTTTTGGTCTCCTATAAAACTTCTAGACTTGTTGTTCTAACATATAATTCGAAACTTTAGTGCAAACAATACATTACAAAACAATATCTCAACAAATGAAGTTGGTTTGGTCTCCTGAGAAAGCATCTAAAGCTTACCTTGATACTGTTAAATCTGTAAGTCTTACCATTTCCGATTTTGTTCTGTTGAATTCAGAATTTAGAGTCGATGAATTCTAAACAGATGTTATATATGTATCATTTCCATTTTTAATTGAAATTTCATTCGAGATCATCATTTCATATAACTCAAACAAAGGACAAGTTTGTATTTTAATTAAGATGTTTTTTTTGTGGTTTCCTTATGTTACAACTAAATGTACCAATCTATTAGACATTACACTAGGATGCTTGGTTTTGACTCCTCTATGTGGTTTTCATTCTCGTTCAACTCTTAGAAATTGCATCTAGTAGTTGTTGGGACAAGTCGCGAAAATGTAACCATTCACATGTTTTATTTCCCTCATTTAGTTCTCATACCTCTATTGAAACAGAATACCTCTATTGAAACAGAATGGTTTTGTGTTCTTTCATCGATTAGTTACTCCTCTTCGTTCATCATCTTTTATCTTTTCCAAGCACTTAACCTACTCTAGTGCCCCTTAGTTATCGCTTTTACCTCTATTGAAACATAATAGCTTCATATTTTTTCATCGATTTGTTTCCTCTTTATTCAGGTCTTTTTCTCGATACATAAAATCTTCATATATTTCCAATGAGAGATAATACATTTCCTCCCATTTCTCAATTAAACTAGTTTCTTTTTCTCAATTAAACTAGTTTCTTGAAAACTCGTTTTAGATATGAAACTTTGAGCATCGAGAAATGCTCTTTCTATTCACAATAAGACAACTTGGTAACAAAAATTCCTCTATATGTCCATTATGAATCTGCATATCACTCATTTTCTACCATTTTTTATCATTTTGCAGTGTGGGTTATTGCCAGAATCTACCGAAGCAGAGTTAATATCAGCCATGGCTGCAGGATGGAACGCACAAATGATCGTAGAGACATGGTCTCGAAGCGGGGCTACATCAACCAGCATTGGTCTTTCTAATGCAATTCAACAAACAGGTGGTAGGCATATTTGCATAGTCCCAAATGAAGATACAAAAAGAGAGTATAAATCAACTATAGAGAAAATCACCGGAATGTCACCGGAAATTGTTATTGGTGAGGCGGAGGAAACATTGAAGACGTTAACAGGGATCGATTTTCTGGTTGTGGATTGTGAAAGAAATGATTTTTCGACGATTTTGAAGGTAGTTACATTAGGAAACAGGGGAGCGGTTTTGGTATGTAAAAATGTGAGTTCAAGAGCTGTTACAGATTTCAGATGGAGGAGTGTACTTGACGAAAAATCAAGAATCGTTCGGTCAGTTTTTTTACCCGTCGGAAAAGGATTAGATATTGCTCACGTAGGGGCTGTCTCCACCGGAAAGAGTGTCTCTGGTGGGAAGATGGAAAGGAAATGGATTAGAAGGTTTGATAGAGAATCTGGTGAAGAGTTTGTGATTCGGAAGTGAATTTAGGTGAACTGTCTAAACCTCGACTAATTCTTCAAGTACCTGTTATCTACAGATATCGACTAACTCTTTCACCAAGACATGGTCAGATTGAAAGAAAAAAAAAACATAGTGAAATTCTTTGGTATTTGTTTGATAGATTTCTTCTCTTTTTTTGGGCATTTTTGGGTTATGTACATTAGATCATCACAAAGTTGAATATTTGGTTTGCCAGTTGGGTTTATGCTGGTGTGATTTTGTTGTATATTGTTTGATAGCATTTGAAACAAAAAGAAAAGTAGAAGATTGAATTGATGTGCCATGAAAGATTGCATTTTTTGTTTCTTAGAAAATAGGAAAAAAAAGAAAAACTTAAGCAGCGCGGAACAGGTCTAAGGTGAGAGTTGCACGAATAAAGAGTGAGGCGGGTTGAAAATAGGTAAAAATACTATGCAGGACAAGGAAAAGCGAATAGGTTTCTAGAAGTCAGTAAAACAGAGAATGTAGATACGAATTTTCTCTCAATACATCTGCCTATTCTGGTGTCATGTTAAACTATGCGACCATTTCATCTAACTTAAGTTTTTAGATTAAAGTCACAGAGACATCTATAGGCAGTGTTCATGATATGGTTGATCAACAAAGAACATTTTAACTTACTCTTGCTACTCCGTGTGACTGCCAACAAGCCACTGTTGTTATTTGCGAAGTAGTGTCAACACCAATAAAGGTTGTGGCGGGGCTGCAGAGTACATCACCATCCTTAAAAATGAGATCTCAGGTTCGAGACCTGAAAACAGAAACATCTTTAGTAAGGAGCGTCTTACCCCCAACTTATCACTCTAATAAAAGAATAAATGATGAATATGGTGATAATGACCGCCAATCATTTCTAAAACCTTCAATGAAAGAAGGAAATAAGAACTATTTTCAGCAGGTAAGCTTAACTTCAAAGTGCGTTCATCTTGTCCAACCTTATCAGAATTTCGTCGTGTTGACATACTAGTGTCCACGTTCAAGGCACATTATGTTAACGAGCCAGGTACAAAATATAACTACATAGTATGTTAAGTTTATTCAAAAGAACTGTGTGATCTGTCAACCATATGATCTGAAAAATGTTAGAAGCTAATACACGATGGTCTTTGAAACTTTCATACTCAGTTGTGGATAGAAAGAAACAAAAAATATGTGCATTGTTGTCTAGCACATGGAACCTTTCAGCCACGTATTTGAATTTTAATCAACAGCAGAAACTACAAACCAAGTCTCTTCAGTGAAATTTTGATTTCACAAACCCATCATCCGTCAAGCTTTCTTTTTATATCAGACTTGCTTCTCATGCAAAATTATTTTCCTTCCTCATAACAGCCCTGAAATAGTAAGAATTGGTACTAAATTAAAGATACAAAAGAGTGGTGAAAAAGGGAACTGCAGAGAAGAAAATGGTGAAGAGATCTTACAACTTGGAAATCTTTTTTACAAGCCCGTCAGAAGGTGGCAGCGGAGCATATGAAGCAGCATTAATTATTTCCTGTTTCATCACCAGCAGAAGTGGCTTTTTAGTTTTGCCAACAAGCATCAAAGGCAATTAAGGACGACAAGCAAAAACATTGAACGGTTGATATCTTAAAATAACATTGTGTCCAACTGTACTGACATGTGGTTCATTGTTCTTGTTCTACCTTTAGGAAACAGATCTACATTGAATAAATGCACCAGTCCAACAGAATCTAATTAGAGACTTTTTATATAGCAAATCTCCTCCTTTTCGGGTGTATATATAATACTACATTTGTGGAAAAATACACACAATAATACCTGAAATTTCCCAAGCACTTTCTGCTTTTTGGCCAAAACATCTTCAAAATTATTCCTAGAAAATAAAAAGAACAGGATAGTATTATTGCATGGTCAAGGACAAAAAAAAGAAACCAAGAAAGAATATCAATAGAGAGCAGATTTTAACTCTTGTTTTCTAGTCTTAGTTGAAGTAAGCACAAGCTCCCCATCCTTGATCCGAGTCTTTTCCTGTTCATTGCCATCAGAAAGTCATTTCCCTATTGTGAAGTGCTGAGAAGAGGATGGATTGATTTTGGATTGAACATCCTAATATCAGAACCAGCAGATATGTCTATAGTTGCATCAATTGAGGAAAGAAGATGGTGCCTGTGACTTCCATCTCCAATCGGATACACATGGCTCGTTTAAGTCGATAATAAAGCTTTAAATTCCCTATTATTAGCATGTGAAATTATACTTAGGATGAGAAAGGAAAAACCTAATGTTGGCGTGACTAGTGGCTGACCAAGCCTGTATCAATTAGAATTACAGCAGGTACGACCAGCAAGGAGTGTGAGTGCAGAAATACTTCTATATAATGTATCTACAACATGTTCATTGCTCCCTCACATGCGAGCCTGATCATTTGCGTTGACCAAGCACATGAAAATATTAGTTAACAGGCATGGGTGAGACTCAAATACAAAAAGTTTACCTGCTTTAATTCCATGCTTAACTGTGTAATCACTTCATGAAAAACATTATGTTGCTAAAAGATAATACCTTGATCTAGTTATTCTAGATCTGCAACACTTCTTAAAGCTAAATTTTGTTTTGACAACATAGCCCTAAATTAAGATAAATGGATTTCTTCTTTGGATTGCAGGATTGTTTGATATTTTGGTAGGAGTAATAAACAGCTGAGTTGCACCACCTCACACCAAGGAGACTTCAAAAATACTAGAAATATATATTTCCAAGGAAAATGCTTCTCAGACACGAAACTCAACTTGCAACAACAAAATTACCAAAAAGAGATGTGCTTTTTTTGAGAAATGACAGAAGAATGCACCATGAGAAACTATTATTCTAGGAAACTACATAAAGCGTTAAGATAATCAATTTTTTTCCTTTTCTTTTTTTTTTGAAAGGGGGGATGATAAGAGGGTAAGAAGAGTCAAGTTCCTACCCAGCAAGCATAGACATCAGAGATGAGCTTTAGTCTCGCTTACAAAACCATAAACTACAAAACAACTTGTCACAAGATCTTAGAGGGTTCGATAAGAACTAAAGCCCATGTCAAGGATATAAATAAATATGAGTAAAGCACTATGAGCATTATGATCAATATTAAGAGCAAGATGGGTCAACATTCCATGTGAACAAATTTAAAAAACATCTGCCACCTTCCAAGAGAAGTCTCATACTAAGATTTCATTCTACTAAAGGATGTTTTGGAATCACATGGCCGCGGGAGAGAAACTTGATTAACACAAGGATGGAAATGGTTCATCCCTTTGCCCTTTTTCACCTTCAGCAGCCCCACCAAAAAGATTTTAATCAGTTTAGTTTAAGTTTCCTCTTTTCTTATTTCAATCTTGTTTCAATAACTCTGAGATGCAATTCTAGGCAAAACATAGTTTAGCATAAAAACACAGGCAAAACATAATTTGGCATAAAATAAAAGTTAAAGCCAAATTCCATCCTGAATCGTAGAAGACAAGTATGGATGTAGAATGCCACCTCCTCAAAATCCTATCCCTAGCATCTGCCGAAACCCCATATGATATTTATGTGAATACAACAATCTTGACTTATCTTAACGTTGCCAGAAACATGTGAAGTCAGAAAAGATGGAAGACTTGAATCCTCAAAGTAGGAGAAAATTTTGCATCGGAAAACTTGATCAACCGCTCACCCCCTTCCCCACATGAAATACATCTTGAACCACCCAACTTAACAGTATTTCCTGACAGTTTGTCTATTTATCTTTTACCTTTCATTAGAACCAAAGTTGTAACTTGAGGGTGGTATGTAGTAAGATACCTGACCAATCCCTCTATTCTACGATCTGATAGTTCATTTCAGGATAGACATTAACAATATTCCGACAATCATTATCTATTTTTATTTCAAGAAGATAATTCTCAAGTTAAAGCTGTAGGAATAGACAAGGTCACCAAACTAACCAGATCACTTGACCTCAATCAATGTCCTTTAATTCAAACGATAGAGGACCACAAAGAGTTCCGCAGTGCTGGAAGACTGGGTAGCCACATAATGTTCCATAGATGTGCTCTGACCTTGTCAAATTTGTGATATCCATTCACTCAAGTGCTTGCAAATAACAAAAGGAATAAAGGGAGCTACGACTATATTTCTGCAAACTACGTTAAGGAGTTAAAATGTAGTCATAGTCACTCAACCAGATGGCACACAATCGACACATACACAATAAAGGTTCAAAAGTTTAGTTTCTTTTTTTAACGATTCAAAGGTCTAAATTCCACTTGAACTTCCTTTCGTCAGAGTCAAATGCAAATACTGTACTCTAAGAATTTTTTTTTATAAGATAATGATGTTTTATTAAATCTAGTACCAAGAAAGTACTGCAGAAGTAAAAGGTTTTGCATCTTCAATAAAAAAGTTAGCTCTCAACACATAGATTCTAAGAAACTAGATATATTTCCATGAACTCAATTTGAAATAAGAGAAAGAATGGAAATCCAGAACTAATGGAAGCAAGATGAAGAAAAAGCATGACCAGCCAAATTCAAGGGACATTTCCTCGAGGGCATAATGTTAAAGATAAAAAAAGAACTAACCATGAGCATGATCCTCTCCCTGACTCTTTCACTCAACCAATTAGCGTTTTTGACATCAAGCTTCATAATAATTTTTGTGCCAGCTGCAGATAAATACAAATGTCTTAGAGATAGCATTTACGGAGGACATATTGTTCACATGTCATGTCAAGTCGAAGAACTACCTCATCAAACAAAAAAATGTCATGTCAAAGAACTTAACAGACCTGTGTTAATACTTCTCATACGAGCTTTGCTTGCTGCAAAAGGAAAACAACTTCATTAATAATTACAAATTTAACAGCCAATGTAACTGCTAAACATATTCTTTAACGTAACTCCTTACGTGTGCTGGTATTTTGCTTCTGAGTTCCTTTCTTCCCTTTCTTCTTGATAGGCATGTTTTTCTTAGCCTTTGTGCTTGCTACACACAATAACCAATTTTCTCAGACATGTTTGCTGTCTATGTTGTTAAATATTGTAAATCAAGAAGAAATCTACCTGCATTAGTGTCTTCTGTATGACTTCTAGTGTCAACATATCCCGCAAAGCTCACAGAAACATGACCTGTATGTGAAGGTAACAGTGAGAAGAAGCCGAACCACTAACACTTAACATCTTAAACATCCTACATGCTGCTTTACAGTTCATCTCAAATAGAGGCCATATGGTTGCAACAATCTACTAGATAGCAATTGTATAAGTGGCACACTCAGAAATTATAGTGAGAACACATTAATGTCAAACAAGTCACCCCACATGTACTTTCTAGTCCCCACGACCCCACACTAAAACACCATCCTTTTGAAATCTGATTTTCAATCAAGCCAAATGATGATGAACTGAAGCCTAAACTTTCAGCTCAACATAAAACAACCTAATCAAAGAGGTGTTAGGCTAGTGGATGCTGAATAGTCATATCCCTGAATCTACCTAATACCCTCGTCATTTATCAAAGATTAGCACCCACCAACCGCTCTGAAACTCTGCAGTACAGAACCAATGCATAATATATAACTCATTTGAAGATAGAAGCATTGTAATAAACTTTAGATTCTCAAATCCACGGAGCCTTATCAGATTTCATGTAAATAGGACGATTTTAGTCTCTCAAATAGAAATAAAGAATATAGATGTTCAACTTCAGACAGAGGCAGATTCAAAAATATTAAGCAAGTGATGCAAAGCACCATTGTAGCAACTGAGCAAAAGTAGCCTAGAAAGATACATCTCCTCGCCAATACACAAGGTGTAACAAACCTCTGATTATAAATTTACTCTAAACAAACTTATGTACTCCCTCAATCCCCAAGATATTTGGCCACACACACAATTAGCTTCTTGAGATTCAACTAAATAAATTTTAAGAAATTATCTCAGAATAATTGCAACTTGTAGTTATCCAAATATCTAACTTATTAATTTTAAACAAATGCATTGAATTGCTCCAACATTTCTAGCACTATTTCCCATCCCGAGATCCAAACTAAGTAAACTTTCGCTAACATTTCAAAATATATTGTTTCACCATTTTACAGAAGATAATTGCAACTTATAATACTATCGGTGCAGTTTCCAAATATCAAATTTTTAGTTTTAAGAAAATGCAGTAATCTAGTCCAACTTAGCTCATTACCAAATTAGACTCTCGTAATAATAAACCAAAAGCGAGGAAATAGTGCTAGACATTTGTAGCTAAATCAGACTGATTAATGCATTTGTTCAAAATATACTACTTCACCATTTTCACAGTGTCTGGGATCTTATCGGGAACGATTTCTCTACACCACAAAGGTAGGCCTAAGGCTTGCGTACATCCTATCCTATCCTATCCTACCCTACCATACTCCACTGTGGGATCACACCAGATACGTGTTGTTGTTGCTACTATTTTACAGTGGATAATTGCAACTTATAAAACTTCTTATGCAGTTTTTTAAATACGAGCTTTAGCTTTAATCAAAGTACAGTAATCTAGCCCAATTTAGCTTCAATAACGTACAAAATCAAACTCCCATAATAATAAACTAAAACTGAGGAAATACTGCTAGACATTTTGGAGCTAAATTACAATGCATTCGTTTGAGATATACTTCTTCACCATTTTCGGAGAATAATTGCAACTTATAATACCTTTCATGCAGTTTCTTAATCTATTAGCTTTAGTTATAATCAAATGCAGTAATATTAATCTAGCCCAATTTAGCTCCAAAAAGGTACCAAATTAAACTCTCAATAAACCAAAAGTATCAAACAAATAGTGAATTCTGGGAATATAATGTAAAATTGAGTTTGAGCTATAGAGTACTTAGTGTAATTTTCGGAATAGGTTCATTTCCGGTAGAATGAGTTCTTTCATCTGCTTGAAGAAGGTAATTGTACACGGCCGGCATTCGTCGAGGAGCTGTTTTCTTCTCGAGGTAGCTCAAACCTGACGTCGACGCAAACCGAACGGCACCGCCGCTGACGGTGGCGCGTGGAAAGATTGAGTGAGTGACATTATTGCTTGTTGTCGATAGCAATTTAGGATTCAACAGTTTCCCGGCGATCTTAGTTGTCTGCTTTAGGATCGCTGCCATTTTCTGGGAAGAAGAAGAAGACAGTGGCCTAAACCCTAATTACTTTGAATATGTAATTTTTCCTATAAAATTATTTATTTTAGAGTTCAAACTAAAAATAAAATGTGTTTTAAACTTTCATTGTTCTTAATTTCTTATTCCATATCCAATAATTACAATTTTATATTGATAAACCCTCGTTATTAACGAATAAATAATATAGAAGTATAATTTTACAAGTACGATTTAGATAGGGGTAGAATGTATGAAATTACCGAATAGACATTACAAGTCTTAACACTCATTATGAATAACAAATAAACAATAACATATTTAGTGTTTCTTGAGAAGTTTGTATATTTATAAATTATATATCTACTCTAACGTGCATTACTATTCTATAATTTATTAGCACTTATTAAAAAGAAAAATATTCAATTAGAATTTTTTTCATTCCTTGAGCTCAAACTTGAAAAATCTAATATCTATTTTAAATTATCGAGTGATCTGAATTCGCAATACTTAAAGGTACAATGCTTAACATAATGATATTAAATTAAAAAAACTCGTTTATTATCTCGAAAGAATATCATACGTCGTGAATTTGTTAAGTACTAACGACTAAATTTTATATGAAGAAGTAAAATTCTACTTCATAATGTTTGTCTCTTTGCAAATTTGTGTTAACATATTGAATTGTTAAAAATCAAATAAAAAAATATTTTTTAAAATTTGGTCATGTCTTAGTTATATCGAGAAGATCAATGTTACCCAAAAAGAATAAGGATATGGATAAAAAAAAATGAATACTTTTTTGCATAATTAAATAAATTAACTTGTAACAATACATAAGTTTTAAAATATTTATACATCAGGATCCAATGACTTGAAGTTTTATGGAGAAAAAAAATATTTTAAAAATATAATGTGCAACTATTTTGGATATTCTCTTTAATAAAAAAAAAAATTATATAGTACATACTATGTAGACAATGCAATTCACATATTTTAATCCTCAATTTCTAAAAATAAAAAAATCACCCATGTACTTTAAGATTTAGGTCATTAATTGAGGGATGATTTTAGCTAAAAATTCTACATTTCAAGAAACAACAAGAAACGCCCACCGTGGGGCTCGAACCCACGACCACAAGGTTAAGAGCCTTGCGCTCTACCAACTGAGCTAGACGGGCTTTTGTTTTTAATTTGTTGTGTTATAATATTTGATAATTTGATTCATGAAGATGCATTTCTTAGGGGATTTTGATTTTCATGACCACCATCTAATTGTCTTAACAAACTACTTTTTTTTGAAAAAGTATTTAATTCGGCTTTCGATTTATCGATATTATTAGTTAATTTTGTTTACAGAAAAATAACATTTTGTAAAACTATCTTTACGTGGTGTGACTCAACAAAACATTCACACAATGTTCTTGTTATTCATTTAAAGTTTGAGAATATGTTAAATGTTGAGGATGTCGCGCCCCTATCTCTTTGATCATTGGTCATTGGTATTCTTCGATAAAAGTGATTAGAGATAATTATATAGGGTTTGTTGGTTCACTATTGGTATAAGCCTAGACCAAGCTTTTATGATTGATAAAAATATGTCTGTCTTATATAACTGAAGGGTCAATATGATAAGACGCTTGAAATTTCTTTCATCATCGTTAAGACATCAATCAATTTTAAAATATCACATTCAACTCTTGAAGATGAAAAACATCTCTATCCGTAGAAAACTTTCTATTCGATGGGAATTAAAATTATTCGAATTACAAGTGGAGAAAGAATATAGTGATGGGCATTGTACCAATAGTCTAGCTAATACCATCATTTTCGAGTCTTGCTCATTTCAACTTTCAAGCAATTGAGCAAGGAACATGCATTGCATTTCTTTTTCTTTAAGAAATACATTTTTCCAAATAAAAATTGAAGGTGGGAAAGGAATAATAATACATTTACTCCCTAATTCATTACAATAAATGTTACCAACTTTCAATATGTTATATTTGAATATTTATAGAATTATTTAGGGACAAGCATTCGTATCCCCTAGATTACTATCGAAATCTCAGAGACACACCTCAACTAAACTAAGGTCTTATTACTCCATGACTTATTTTAGTTTTGTAATTTTGTATTCACAAAACATGAGTTTAGGGGGTAATAAAACCTTATATTAGTTAAGATGTGTCTATGAGATTTCGGTCATATTCTGGAGGTACTTGTGCCTTATCTCAATTATTTATATACCGACAAATACGTAAATAATAACACAAATTATATATTTATATATATCGTCAACAATTAAATAGTGAAAGGATTAATATTTATGGTAAATTGTGGATATTCTTAAGCAAACATATAAAAGATGCACAATTTAATTAATTAAAAATTAAATGTATTTAATTAAATATTATTAGAAACTAAAATCAGAATTTACCAATAACTGAACGATTAAAAATAGAATTAATTGACTATAAAGAAAAGGCAAAGAGTAAAAACATAGTATATAAATAACATATCACGCAATGTTATTTTAAATATTCCTAAGTAGCTACCTCTACTACGAAGCAATCGATCACTTTACTCCCCCCACCACACACACACAAAAAAAATATATATATATTCCTTTATTACTAAGCAATTTACTTCCATTCATTAATTTAGAACTCACAATGATCAAAATTTTAAATATAGTTCATCATCGATCAATTTCAATGTGTGAAAGAGCTAGTGGTAGCGGTGTACAAAAATCGTTATATCTCCCCACGACGTTGAGTCATCGGAGGAGTACTAGGACCGTGGCACGACGAACATTATTAAAGCATCATAGGGCAAGAATTGAAAGATGGAAATCTGAGCCTTGTTTTTGGAGAAATATTAATGGAGATGGAGGTGAAAATGAAGATGATCATCGTCGTCGTTTTCATCCACGGGATGTTACTACGACGTCGTTGGAGGTCCTTTTCCGGCCACAAACTTGTACGGATTTATTTTTCTCATCGGATCATCTTAATGTTCCTTCTCCAAAGAGTACTCAAGTAAGTAACACTATTAGTTTTTTTTTTCTTCAACGTAATTCAGAATATATATTAATTACTATAGTTAACACGATCATGAATGTGATGAAATAAATAAGATTTTTTCATTTTCAGATGGAATATTTTTTTTTGGTAGCAAGCAATTTTCCTATAATGTGTCTGTTATATGTAACATGAATTCAGATTAGTCAATTCTATAAATAGGAAAAGTTAAATGTAATTTAGTGATAAGAACGTATTTAAATGTGTGTTGTATTTTATTGAGTTGAGATAAATATCGAGTGCTTTAAATTTTTATCGATGTGAACGAATTAAGTAGGTAAAAAATGGTTGGATGTGTGGTTAACATGGTTAATTACACCTTATATAAGTGAATCAAATATGTGAAAAACAAGTAGTGCTCAATTTCTTTTTATTTCTACTTGTCTTGGATCAAAAAGTTGGAGGAGTTACCATGTGATTGATTTTTATTAATTTTTTTATAATCTTCGTGCTTACATCTGTGTATATTGATTAATTTTATTGGATATCTGTTATATTTCATACAATAAGTATCATAATAACTTTATTTATGAAAGCTTGAATAGATTATTTTGTCTAGACTGGAATTTGAACTTGAAATCTTATGGTACTCAACAAAATTCATTGACTATTAAAGCACATTCTTGAGTGCGATCGTTACCAATTTTAACCTTTATATACGATGAAAAAGACAATTTAATACACTAAACTTTCAAAATATACTAGAAGTTCGGACCATGATATGTCATAATTCTATCTTATTTTTCTACAATAAGTTATTTCTATGACCTTATATGTATTGTGTTAGTGATTTCTAAAATTCAATGATTTGTTGTAGGTGTACAAGAAGGATGCAAAAGTAGTGGTTAATGTGACAATTGAGGGCACTCTTGGACCAATTAAAACCATGGTCAAGTTGGGATCAAATGTTAAAGAGACCATAAAACTTGTCCTAAATAAATATAAAGAAGAAGGTCGAAGTCCTCATCTTGATGATTCTTCATCATTCAAGCTGTACACTTCTCACTTTAGTCTTGAGAGTAAGTTCTAACAAATATTTCAATTTTTTCGAATTTAAATTATATACATCGTCATTTTTACGTATAACTCATCGATCGATAGACATGTTAATTTACCCTCAAGCGGTAAATAAATATCCCAATTTCAAAAATTCATATTTAGACATTTTAACTTGATGTAATTTGGCTTCTAAATACATTCATCCTATATAACATTTTGCGTGAGTTATATCACATTCTACATGGCATTTCACGCATGTTAACGTGATCAAACTTAAACCAAGTAAGATGTTCAGATGTGCATTCTTAAAATTGATTGTTTTTTTCATATTATAAATTAAAAGTTATGGATTATATAGATTGAGTTGAACTCGTAGCCAAAAGGCTACATCCTCCCCCAATGAAAGTGGTGAATTAATTATTTAGTAAATAAAGTTATTTTCGTATGACGTATATGTCACAAATTCAACCTATGAAAGAACATAATTAGAATATGATGTCTACATCACACCACTTGAAGTTTACGTACTTTTTTACAAACCCTAATTGAACGTAAAATAATTTTCTTATGTTTTGTTAATTATTATAGGCTTGAATAATTCAGATGTGATTGGAGATGTGGGAAGTAGAAGCTTTCACCTTCGCAAGAGTAATAGCAACAATGGAAATAATTCAAAGCAATTTAATTCCAATCCATTTCTTGCACTAAAGATCAACAAATTCATAAAAGGAACAAGCAATATTTGGAAACTCCTTAGTTGCATACATTGTTTTGAATAATCATCTCAGTGAGATGCGGATTCAAAATTTGAAATTTATGATTATGATGTTTATTATTATTATATTAAATAGGGGTAAAATCAATAAAGCTTATAAATTTTGAGCTCACTCATTATATCGTATGTATCAAATCATAATGAATAACAAATCAATATATATTTTATTAATTAATGAAATATCTTATATCTTCTTTTGGATGTTTGTTATATGTTACATTG